AGAGAATTCTTAAGAGGAAAATCAGGAGGCAGAGATAGCCTTGGCAGATAAAGTTAAGGATAATCCAAAGAGATTCTACAAGTAAATCAGGAGCAAAAGAGCAACTAGGGAGACAGTAGGGTCCCTCAAAGATCAAAGAGGTCGTCTATGTGTGGAACCACTGGAAATGAGAGAGATACTAATTAAATATGTCATGTCAGTTTTTACTGTAGAGAAAGAAATGGAGGCTAGGGAACCTGGGGAAACAAATATTGACATCTTGAAAATGTTCCATATTACAGAAGAGGAGGTGCTAGAGGTCTTAAAAAATATCAAGGTGGATAACTCTCCAGACTTGCTCATGTGTATCCCAGGATGTTATGGGAAGTTAGGGAGGAAATTGCAGGGCCCCTAGCAGAAATATTTGTATCACGTACAACCGTGGGTGAGGTGTACGACGACTGGAGGGTGGCTAATGTTCGGCCTTTATTTAAGAAAGGCGGTAAGGAGACTCTTGATATTATAGACTGGTGAGTTGTTGGAGGGGGTTCTGAGAGATAGGATTTGTATCAATTTGGAGAGGCAAGGGCTGATTATGGATAGTCAACTTGTGTGGGGGAAATAGTGTCTCTCAAACTTGATTGAGTTTTTTGAAGAGATGGCCGAAAAGATAGATGAGGTCAGAGTGGTAGATGTTGTCAACATGGACTTTAGTAAAGCCTTTGACACTTTTTTTAAAAAATTCATTCAAGGGATGAAGGCGTGGCTGGCTAGGCCAGCATTTATTGCCCAGAGGGCAGTTAAGAGTCTTGGTTCTGAAGTGACATGTAGGCCAGACCAGGTAAGGATGGCAGTTTCCTTCCCTAAAGGACATTGGTGAACCAGATGGGTTTTTCCTGGCAATCGACAATGGATTCACAGTCGTCATTAGACTCTTATTTCCAGATATTTACTGAATTCAAATTCTGCCATCTGCCATGGTGGGATTCGAACCCAGGTCCCCAGAACATTACCTGGGTCTCTGGATTAGCAGTCCAGTGATGATGCCAGTAGGCCATTGCCTCCCGTCAGGTTCACATGGTAGACTGATAGGTAAAGTTGAATCACAAGGGATTCAGGGAGAGTTTGCCAATTGGACACAAAATTGGCTTAACGGCAGCAGACAGAGAGTGATGGTGGGTGGTTATTTTTCGTGCTGAAGGCCTGTGACTGGCATTATTCCACAGGGATTGGTGCTGGGTCCATTGTTGTTTGTCATATATAATAACAATTTGGATGAGAATTTAGGAGGCATGGTTAATAAGTTTGCAGATGACACCAAGATTGGTAATATAGTCAACAGGAGGAAGGTTATCTAAGATTACAAAGAGATCTTGATCAATTGAGCCAATGGGCTAAGAAGTGGCAGATGGAGCTTAAATTGGATAAATGCAAGGTACTGTAGTAAGAGATCGGATTGTAGTAAGAGAGGGTAAAGATATCTGCGAATACTCCTGCCAGCTGGTCCACACAGGATCAGAGTGCCTGGCCAGGGACTCCATCCTGGCTGGTCGCTTTTTGTGGGTTCACCCTCAGGAAGGCTGATCTGTTATCTGTAGTGGTCTCTCTCGGTGCAGGTACATCTGAGCCTGATGGGATAGGTGACATCATTTCATTGACCTTCTGTTCAAAGTTAGCGTAGAATACAATAATTTTGTTGGATAGAGATGTACTGTTGCCCACGATTCTGTTTGACTTTGCTTTATAGCCTGTTATGTCGTGTAAGCTGACTGAGGTCTATAAAGAGTGAGGGACATGGACAGTGGGGATAGAAAGCAACTTAAATCCATCAGTTTAATGGTCAGTAACAACGGGACATGATGTTAAGGTGGTCGGTAAAAGGTTCAGAAGGGATTTGTGGTCAGGCGGAGGGTGGTGGGAATTTGGAATGTACTTTCTGGGAGGCCAGTTGAGGCAGGAGTCCTCATAAACTTTTAAAAAGGACTTGGATGAGTATTTGAAATGTCAGTATTTGAGGTTGTAGGCCGAGTGCTGGAAAGTGGGACTAGTGTAGATTTAGTGTAGTCTTTGGAGACTTGATGGGCTGAAGGGCCTCTTACATACTGTATGAGTGTATGACATATTGGCTAGGCCACCATGGGAGTTAGGTGTGAGTGGGAATGAGCAATGTCAGCAGATGTGTTCTTCAAGTGCTCTTCAATTCTCTGCCATCTCGGATGGGGAGTCACGGAAAGAACTTGTTTCCCCACTTGACGGAGTTTTACTAACGGTGGGACTGGCTTTAGGCATGCTTCCTGCCACAAAGAGTTCAGTTAAAATGTTCTAACTCCTCCAGGTCATCAGCAGTAAATCGACCTTGCAACAGGTTCTAGAGCAGCAAAGCAGGGAGGCGAGTTTCAAACAAAGTGGGGACCAGTAGCAGTGAAGGCCGATTTTGGGCCCCACCAATGATAGGTGGTGGGGACAGACAGAGAGGTGATGAGGAGCACAGGAGAGTTGGGGAACGTGTGCGAGATGAGCGAGAGACTGAGTTGGGCACTGGACAAGGGACAAGCAAGCAGGGATTGGGTAAGGGAGCTGGCTCATCCCTGCCTTGAGGTGATAGTCATGGCGTTGATGTCAAGGGCAGTCACTTCTAGCATTTCACCTCCTCTTGTAGCTACTATTTATTTGACTAGTACAGTTCATTTTCTGGTAAATGGTAATCCTCAGTGTGTTGATATTGGGAGATTCAATGATGATAGTGCCATTGGGCATTAAGGGACAATGGTTAGACTGTCTCTTTTAGGAAATGGTTATTGCCTGGCATTTGTGTGGTGCAAATGTTACTTGTTCCTCTTTAGCCCAGACCCTGATATTGGACATGGTATGTATGACTCTCTGAAGAGTTGTGAATGGTTATAAAATCATCCCTACTTTTAACCTTGTGATCGAGGGAACGTCATTGAAACAGCTGAAGATGGTTGGGCTTAGGACACTATGCTGAGGAACTCCTGCAGAGATGTCCCGGACCTGAGATGACTGACCTCCAGCCACAGCCATCTTTCTATGCTTCAGGAATGACTTCAACGACCAGAAAGTTTCTCCCTATTCCCATTGATTCCTCTTTCCCCAGGTTGCATTGATGCCACACTCGGTCAACTGCTGCCTTGATGTCAAGGGCTGTCACTCTCACAGTCACCTCACCTCTGGACCTCAGCTCTTTTGTCCATGTTTGAACCAAGGCTGTAATGAGATCAGGAGCTGAGTGGCCCTGGCAGAACCCAAACTGGGCGTCACTGAGCAGGTTATTGCTGAGCAGGTGCTGCTTGATAGCGCTGTTGATGACACCTTCCATCACTTTCCTGATGATTGAGAGTAGACTGATGGGGCAGTGATTGGCTGGGTTGGATTTGTCCTGCTTTATGGACTAAGGTGGGTGATGTTCCTGCCTTTCTGATTTGCTGCCTGTCACTCCCCCTCTCCATTTTCCCAGCACAAGGTGGATGTGTTCAATGATGTCCTCCTGAGCAGTGCGGTCTCTTGCTGTGCTCACTAGTCTCTCTCTGTCACCCAGGCTCTGTATCCTCGTAACTGTATGCAGCACCCAGGCCTGGATGATGTGGCGATTCATTAACTTCCAGCTGCGACGATGGAGAGAGTTTCAAGCGGAGCAGGCATCTCGTAGGAAGATTGTAGGCGCAATGGCAATGCGAGGCCGGGTCGTACGCAGGGAACTAGGTCAGTGCGGGGGTGTGGGGCAGGCGTGTGTCTGATGGGGTTTTGGTATCACAGGTCAGATGGGGGGGTCAGGAAGTTCAGGTTGGGAGTCGGTCAAGGTCAAATGGAACTCGGGCTCAGTTTGGGAATATCGGGGATTGAGGGAGGGTTTGGGGACAGGTGGCGTTCTGCAGTCAGAATGGGAGAATGAGGGTTTGGGTGAGGATTGGGGTCAGAGGGTTTCTGGCCATGGTCTTTCAGTAACTCCACGTTTCTCTCTCTCCTAGGTCACCATGAGAACGGTTTGATCAAATCAGAGAATGGCACCTCACCTCGGACTCGCAAATCTAAGTCACCCTAAACTGGATCAAACAGGGCTGGGGAATCTTTCAGATCATATCACCCTGCCCCGGGGAACAATATTGTACCTTCAATTATTGTTTCTTTTTCCCTATTCTTCCCTTAAGCACAGCTCCACCCCCTACTTCTTGTGTCCATTTTCCAGTGAAGGTATCAGCAAATTGTTCTCCCCACATGATTATCACATTTTATCCAAATCTCTCCCATTTCCCACACCCTTCCCAGGATCAAAGTCTGACTTAATCCCACCAGCCCCAATCTGTCCTCAATCCTAACTCTTATCCACACGCTGGATGAGATCAGCTCAGTCAGTGTAAATTGGAGATGGGGCCCTGTCCCTCCCTGCTCAGAGTATGGGTTCAGCACCATCTTTGTGGTTGATGGGATTAACCTGTGTCTCTTGACAACTTGGATTGGTGTAAAGTGCATTGGACACATGTCAGCCTGTACCTCAGCAACTGCTAGTGATCTTTGGGGCCTCTGTCAGCCCCGATGCGGGGTGTCCCAGCGCCCAGTGCAGTGGGGGGTGTCCCAGTGCCTGGTTCCAGGTGAGCCTGCCTGACATATAGTGTTTATCTGCCCTACCTACAGTTCCCCACGCGCAGCAGTGATTGATGGATGATATCATCGTGACCCTTACTGACCTTGCAGTAGTGCTGCAGTCATGTAAGTCACAAGCATGACTGTAAATAAATGTGCAAATTGAACATGATATGTTTTTGTGTTCTATGTATCTTTGAACATTCAGACTTGTATGTGACATATTGTGGGAAGGTGTCACCTGGGCAGGTGTCAATGTTACTTACAGTCCCTCAAGCAGAGATTGGGAGCCCTGCAGTGGGCAGGTTAGGTGTCTGACAGTTTGAGAGGAGGGTGCTGTCACTGCGTTAGCTGGACCCCACAGGAGCTGAGATGTGTCACTCACTGAGGTATAATCAGATCATTATCTAACAGTCTGCTGGAAATGTTTCAAATATTATTTTATTCAGTTTGCATTATGTTCCCAATTACAAAGATCATTGTTCCCCTTTTCAACATCAACAGTTATAATTCTTATATGTACTTTGATCTTGAAGTCCATTGGGAACACACTGAGGTGTGTGGATATCTGCCTTGGATTGTGATGGGCAGATACCTCCTTGGTGTTGAGGTGCACAGATATCTGTCTGGTATTGAGGTATGTGGATATCTCCCTGGTTCTGTGGTATGCGGATATCTGTCTGGTATTGAGGTGTGCGGATATCTCCCTGATTCTGTGGTGGGCAAGCATCGCCTTGGTTCTGTGGCATATAGATATCTGCTTGATATTGAGGTGGGCAGATATCTCCCTGGATCTGTGGTGGGCAGATATCTCCCTGGATCTGTGGTGGGCGGATATCTCCCTGGTTCAGTGGTGGGCAGATATCTCTCTTGTATTGATGTGTCTGGATATCCTCCTGGAACTGTGCTTTTGATGGACTAGGGTCAAGGAACTGTCTGCATTCTGATGGTATCATTACATAGTCCTCACTGCTGATCTCGGCAGGAGCAAGTACCGGATCACCAAATGACACAGAGCTAGAGAAACAAAAAAGAACAAAATTACGTAGGAAAATATGGAACAGCAGCAGGAATAGATCATTCACCCCCTTGAGCCCGCATCCCCACTATATAAACTCATTTATCATAATGTCAGTTTCCTGTGCATTCTCCTTATTCCTTGATGTTTTCAATATCTATTGATCTTTGTCTTGAATCTACTCAGTGATTGAGCCATCACAGACCCCTGAGGTAGAGAATGCCAAAGATGTGCCAACTTCAGAATGAAGACGGTTTTCCTTATCCCACTCCTGAATGGTTTCCCTCTACTCTGAGACTATACTCCCACTTAGCCAGGGGTAACATTCTACTAGCATCTACCCTGTTGATTCCTGTTAGGATTTTGTGTTTTAAGATGAGATCACCTCTCATCCTTCTAAACTTTAGAGAACAAAAGCTCATTCTCAGTTTGGTTCCATGATTATCTATTCTTTCATGGAATGTGGGTGTTGCTGACTGGATCAGCATTTATTGCCCAGGCCTAGTTGCCGTTAAGGAGGTGGTGGTGAGCTGTCTTCTTGAACCGCCACAGTCTGTGTGTTGTAGACCCACAATGCTGTTAGGGAGTTCCAAGATTTTGACCCAGTGACAGTGAAGGACCCAATGATATATTTCCAAAGCAGGATGGGGAGTGGCTTGGAGGGGAACTTGCAGGAGATGGTGTCCCCGTGTATCTGCTGCCCTTGTCCTTCTAGATGGAAGTAGTCACAGGTTTGGAAGGTGTTGTCTAAGGACATTTGGCAAAATTCTCCATTGTATCTTGTTGCTAGTACACTGCTGTGCAGTAGTGGTGGAGGGAGTGGATGTTTGTGGATATGGTGCCAATCAAGCAGATTTCTTTGTCCTGGAAGGTGTCAAGCTTCTTGAGTTTGGTTGGAGTCACATCCAGATAAGTAGAGAGTGTTCCATCACACTCCTGACTCATGCCTTGTAGATGGACAGGTTTTGGGGAGTTAGGAGGAGTGTTACATGCTGTAACATTGCTAGTCTTTGTCCTACTCTTGTAGCCACAATAATTATATGGCTACTCCAGTTCAGTTTCTGGTCAGTAGTAACACCCAGGATATTTATTGTGGGAGGTTTCAACAACACAGTAATGCCATTGAATGTCAAAAGGATGATGAATAGATTCTCTCATTTTGGAGATGGTCTTTGCCTGGCACTTGTGAGGCCTGATTGTTATTTGTCACTTTTCAGCTCCAACCTGGATATTGTCCAGATTTTGCTGCATTTGGGCATGGACTGTCTGAGGAATCGTGAATCTTTATTCATTAACAGGATGAGGGCGTCACTGGTTAGGCAGCATTTATCGCCCATCCCTAATTGTCCAGGGCAGTTAAGAGTCAACCACATAAAGAACATTAGTGAATCAGATGGGTTTTTCCTGACAATCGGCAATGGATTCAAGGTCATCATTAGATTCTTAATTCCAGATATTTTTATTGAATTCAAATTCCACCATCTGCTGTAGTGGGATTCAAACCTGGGTCCCCAGGACATTACCTGCGTGTCTGGATTAATCGTCCAGCGATAATACCACTAGGCCATCGCTTCCCCTGAATGGTGCTGAACATTGTGCAATCATCAGCAACATCCCCACTTCTGACCTTATGATGGAGGGAAGGTCATTGATAAAGCAGCTGAAGATGGTTGGGCCTAGGACACTACCCTGAGGATGTCCTGGAGCTGAGATGACTGATTTCCAACAAACACAGCCAAGGATTAACCTGATGATCTTCTATTGCCTCAATGACACATACAGCCTTCCTTAGATCTGGAGAAGGAATCTGCACACAGTGCTCCAGATGAGGTGTCACCGAAGCTCTATACAACTTCAGCAAGACAACTTTACTCTTGGACTGAAATCCCTTTATGATGAAGGCCAACATGCTATTTGCCTTTCAAATTGCTTGTTTCACCTATATGTTAATTTTCAGTGACTTATGAACAAGGACATGCAAGTCCCTTACAATTTCAACACTTCCCATGCTGTTTTTCCTACCAAAGTGGATAACTTCACATTTTTTTTTCATTCTTGTATAAGGTGTGGGCTTCGATAGCAAGGCCAGTATTTGTTGCCCTTCACTGTTACCCTTGAACTGCTAGGTCATTTTGGAGGGTGGTTAGGAGCCAACCACACTGCTGAGGATCTGGAGTTACATATAGACCAGACCAGGTAAAGGTTTCCTTCCCTAGAGTACATTAGTGAACCAGATGGGTTTTTCTGTGCTCTTGCCTTCTTACTCCAAAATCCCCTTGAAATGTTTTTGCATCCACTTCATAACTCACTCTGTCATTTAGTTTTGTGTCATCTGCAAACTTGAAAATATTACATTTAATTCCCATATCCAAATCATTGATAGTGAATAGCTGGAGCCCCCGCACTGATCTGTGCAGTACCCTACTAGTCACAGCCTTCCAACCCGAGAAAAACCCATTCATTCCTCCTCTGTTTTCTGTCGATTGACCAGTTCTTATTTCCTGACAATATATTCCCTCTAGTCTCATGTCCTCTAATTTTGATATTCCTGTATCCCTTGATATCTTCAAAATCTGTTGATCTTTGACTTGAATCTACTCAGTGATTGAACCATCACAGACCCCTGAGGTGGAGAATTCCACAAAGATATACCAACTTCAGACTATGTTCTTTATCCCAGTCCTCAATTGTTTCCCTCTTATTCTGAGACTGTACTGAGATAACTAAACCTCTTGTGTAGGACCCTATCAAAACCTTTCTGAATTCTAAACATACCACATTCCACCTTTTCCCCTTTATCTATTCCCCTGATTAGATATTCAAAAAGCTTCAACAGGTTTTTTAAGCAGGTTTCTCTTTCATAAATCCATATTGGCGCTGCCCAATCCTATCATCATTTTTCGAAGTGTTTTATTATAAAATTCTTTAACAGAGATTCCAGCATTTTCCCTATTATTGCTGTCAGACTGTCCAGTCAGTAGTTCCACATTTTCTATTTCCTCTATTAAATAGTGTGACTCATTTACCAGCTTCCAGTCTGCAGCTACCAACCAGATTCTGTACAATTCTGAAAGGTGAGCCACCTGTTTCAACACTCTGGGAATGTAAGGCATCAGATCCAGGGGATTTATCTTCTTTAAGTTCCATTAGTTTCGAAAGTACTATTCTTTTTACTGTCACTAATATATTTCACTTTCTCATTCTTGCTAGTCCCATGACTCTAAGTATTTCCAGGAGTTTCTTTTTGCATCCTCAGTGAAAACAGATAAAAATAAATAAGATGTAGAGCTGGATGAACACAGAAGGCCGAGCAGGAAAGCTGACGTTTCGGGCCTAGACCCTTCTTCAGAAGGGTCTTGGCCCGAAAGGTCAGCTTTCCTGCTCCTCTGATGCTGCTTGGCCTGCTGTGTTCATCCAGCTGTACACCTTGTTATCTCAGATTCTCCAGCATCTGCAGTTCCCACTATCTCTAAAAATAAATAACTCAGTTTCTCTGCCATTTCCATTTTCCCAATGGTATGTTTTGCGTTACTGCCTATAATAAGTCCATTTTTGTCCTTTCTAATCATTTCCTTTTTACAAAGCAATAGCTGAAAGTGCTGGAGAAACTCATGAGGTCTGGCAGCATCTGTAGAGTGAAAACATAGTTAATATTTCGAATCTAGTCCTTCTGAACTGATGATAGCTATGAAAAGGTGGTATATATGCTGAGGGAGAGGTCAGGGAGGTGTGAGCAGACAGATGGAGGTGGAGCCCACAGACAGACAATGACAGGAGAGAAAGGGATGGCTGATAGTAAGCCAGGGAGAAAGAACAGATGATAATGGGGACCATGAGTCGGTGCAAATGGGTTGGTTGTGCTGAAAGCAGCCCATGTCATTGTCAGGGCCTGATGTGTTGGAGTGGGTAATGGACATGAAAGGAAGTGTTCAGGTTCTAAAGTTGTTGAACTCCATATTGAATCCTGAAGGCTGCAGGGTCCTCAAGTAGAAAATGAGATGCTGTTCTTCCAGCTTGCACTGAGCTTCACCGGAGCACTGCAGCAGGCCTGCGATAGAGATGTTGGCCAGGGAACAGGGTGCTAATGAAGTGGCAGGCAACTGGAAGCTCAGGGTCCTCTTTACAGACAGAACATAGGTGTTCTGTGAAGCAGTCACTCAGTCTGAGCTTCATCTCCCCATTATAAAGGAGACCACATTGTGAGCAGTGAATGCAGTAGACTAGATTGTGTGAAATGCAGGTAAAGTGCTGCTTCACCTGCAAGGGGTGTGAAGTATTGGACAGTGAGGAGTGAGGAGGGAGCAGGTAACTAGGTAGGTGTTGTATCTTCTGTGATTGTAGGTGAAGGTGCCATTGGGCTGTGGGAGGGGGTGTTGGGAGTGAAGGAGCAGTGGACTGGGGTGTCCTGGAGGGAATGGTCCTTGTGAAATGCTGACAAGGGAGGGCAATATTTGTCTGGTGGTGGCATCCTGCTGGAGATGGCAGAAATGGCAGCTTATGATCCTTTGAATGTAGATGCTGGTAGGGTGGAAAATCAGGGCTGGGGGGACCCTATTGGTGTTGTGGGAGGGAAGAGAAGTGCAGGAAATGGGTCAGACATGGCTAATGACCCTATTGACCACAGTAGCAGGGAATCCTCAGTTTAGGGAAAAGGTGGACAATTCTGATGCTCCCTTGTGGAAGGTGGCATCATCAAAGCAGATGAGACGGAGATGGAGCCTGAGAAATTGGGAGAATGAAATGGAATAGATTTTGGATCTGTTTTTACGTTTCTTGCTATATTACTCTGATTTTCAATTTTCCCTTAATCTTTTCACTGAAGTCAAGCAGTTAGACTTTGACCACAGATGGTGAGGGGTGGGGTGGGGTGGGTGGGTGGATGATTTACACTTGTGAGGTGGAGGGGGGGGAGCGAGTTTTGTTTATGTGCATTGAGGGGGTTAATCACTGATGTGGAAAGGGATGTTGTTACCAGCAGCATTTGAGAAGCTTACAGTAAGAGGGGAGCACAGCCACATGTAGAGACTCCCATGTACTGAGAACTTTTTATTCTTTCACTGGATGTGGTCATCGCTGGCTGGTCCCACATTTATTGCAACAAAAAAAATTGGAGAAACTCAGCAGGTCTGGCAGCATCCATGGAGAAAAAGCAGCTAACATTTCAGGTTCAGTGAACCTTCTTCAGAATGCACTTATTGCCCTTGGAACCTTGGGGGTTATTATATTCCAACCTTAAATGGAGTTTTAGCCTGCAGGTCAGGTCTGTCTGCTTGAGTGAGATCTTGGCTGGGGCCAATTATCTGAAGGCCAGCTAACCAATCTCGTTCTGCCAATGAGACAGATCAGTTCAGGGTGTTCAGACACAATGATTGGAATCTGTGCGTTGAGCTGATTTGATGTGTGACAGCTGAGTACGGTCAGGTTTCCCAACTTGGTGGAAAGACTGGTGGCCATTTACAGTGCTGCAGCTGCAGGGCTATATGTCAGAGTCAACAGGACAAAATTAAACTGGAAATGAAAACAAAAGGATGACTGACCGAGCTTTCTGATCCATCTCCTTCTGTTGAGTCTCCAGAGACTCCTGGACCATTTGTGCCTTCCTTTCCTGAGCTTTCTGCTGGAATGAGTTGAGAACCTCACTTGGAAATTCTGCAGCATTTGCTTGCAGGTATTTGTAAACATATTCATCAGCGTCGGTGATGATGAAGCGGCAACCGAGTACTGAAGAGAGAAAAATAGCCAATTATGAGCAAGGCTGTTGACACTGACTGGGGCAAAGGAGAGAATGGGGATGCAAGATTGAATTGTAGCACTTGGAACATCACATACATAGCATAACACACAAGGTACAGCACAGAAACAAGCCATTCAGCCAACTAATCTGTGCAGGTCTTTAAGCCCTACTCGACCCTCCTCCCATCTTTCCTCATTTAAATACCAACGTACCCCTCTACTCCATTCTCCCTCACATGTCTCTTCCTTAATGCATCCAAATTATTCACTTCAACTATCCCCCAGGGGAACAAGGTACACATTCTCAAACACATATGCTCTCTCAGACTTAGACACACACACACAAGAAAAGCAGTACCTAGCGGTAAAGATATGTGTTTAGATTATGAGTAGCAATGTAAGTAAATCAGTAAATGAAGTATAGAGCTGGATGAACACAGCAGGCCAAGCAGCATCAGAGGAGCAGGAAGGCTGACGTTTCGGGCCTAGACCCTTC